CTTACAGTGTTCAAAACATAAACTCTTTTGACTACTTTAAATCTTTCTAATAACTGTAAATAGGAAAACCATTGGCAACTATGTCCCTCTACCACCAGTTCTCTAGATTTTATTTTGTATTCCCCTTGACAAAATTCTTGTATCTCATGATAAGTTAGCCATTTATGTTTGCCTATTATTTCTTGTCTATAAAATGCTTCTTGTGCTGAGAGCCACAAAGGTGTTTCCAGGCACAACCTGGATTTATCTATTACAAATTCTCCATATGGCGTGTCTAACATAGCCAACACAGTAGCATGCAGGATTTTACCAAGTAGGAAAGCACCTTTTATGTAAAATAGAAGATTTGTACCTGGTTACTTGTTCAAGGAGCCTTCTGTACCAACTAGCAAAGCAAAAACAAAAGTCCCTCAGAATCTGGAACAATAGTTTCCAAGTCATATTTAAAGAGGAAGGAAATCTCAAACCTCAGTGGTTATTAAAATAGATTTAGAAGTGTGTGGGCAACACCTGCTAAAACTTCAGTAATCCAAGAAATGGCATGAGATTTGCTGTATATAGCTTACACCAACAACATTCATTCACTATGCCTCTCCATACCTTTCTGTATTTGCCAACTGTCCTCCCTTCCACCATATTCATATGCCACATCATGCGTTGGCTTTTTGAGGATCTCCATCAGCTCCAACCATGATTTTCTTGGTCTTCTACTTCCTCTTGATACATTCACTCTTCCTTCATATATTTGCTTTGGATTCAATCCCCATTCATTTCCTCTTATGACAAAACCATCTCAATGAACTCCTTTCATGTTGTTCACTCACTTTTGTATACAGTCCACATTTATTCAGCATCCTTGACCTTATCTCATCTTCTTATACTACACACACTTCCTAAGTACCCTATTTTCACTGCATCCAACTTGGTTTTATGTTTCTTCTGACATACAGAATTCTTCTGACAGAAGAATTCTGACATTCTTCTCAACTATTGCTAGGCAGAAGCATGGTCTTATCCACAGCCACCACACATAGTAGGAAGGGGTTGTTTTTTGTTTTTTGTTTTTGCATAATTTAGTCAGGAATGGAACATGAGTGCTCCCCTAAACCTTGAGTATAAAATGTAAAAAAGTAGGGCGAGGAGCAAAAATTAGTTTCATCTTGAAATAGAATCAACAAGTTGTAATATTCTTCCAACTTGTGGTCTGTTCTAGCTCTCCGATTCATTAAGTGAGCTGGAGGCCTTGATGGACAGAATGAAGAGGCTGCAGGAGGAGGAGGAGACTTCCCCAGAAGAGATGGATACATGCTTTGAAAAAGAAAAGTCAGAGAGCCTACTAGTTGTTACCGAAGGTATTGCACTCTGTGTGCTCCAGTGGAGCTCCTTTCATAATTCAGTTTTTAGAGGTATAACTGGAGATCAATCCCTGAATTTAATAAAAACAAGCTAAACAACAAAAGCAGTTCTCACTTGCTGGATATTGTTTAGAGCCCGTTTATACATGCAGAGAAGTCTGCTTTCTTCAGACTCAGTTATTTCAGAGTATTGTAAGTGGGAAACTGTTTGCAGAGTCACCCTCTGGGGGAGATGGGCAGCATATAAATTTAATAATAAAATAAAATAAAATTCCCCTATACCAGTAATAAATCTTTAATCATAAAATGTCTGGAAGGCTTTAGCTCATCTTTCTCTCTGACATACTAGCTGGGGAATTCTGGGAATTGAAGTCCACACACCTGGGAAGTTGCTGAAGTTGAGAAACACTGATTTAGAGCAAGGATAGGGATTTTCTCCCCCCAATGAAGTGGTACGTGCCTTTCAGCTAATCTGTCAGAGGGCTACATGCTGCCAGCTGAGAGGCTGAATGCCCTTGCCAAAGATCTGAACTGATCACATGCAGAGAGCTTTTGAATTTAAGGCTGGGTGCTTGAACTTTAAGTTTGTAGACAATGGCTACCTTGGAAATCCTTCTTGTAATCATATTCATGTTATATATGCTTAAAGACACAGACCTTGCCAGAGCTGAGCAAATGGGTCAGAAGGTGGAAAGATGATTTAGTATTTGAATTCAGATTAAGTTGGACAAATTATACTCGTAGCCCCCAGGCACTTGTTGAGTGGAGAGTTTGGCCTGACATTTTATTTTAATTTGAAGTCTACAGGTAATCCTCAACTTACGACCATTCATTTAGTGACCATTTGAAGTTATGACAGCACTGAAAAAAGTGACTTATGACCAGTCCTCACACTTACAACCAACACAGCATCCCCATGATCACGTGATCAAAATTCAGGTGCTTGGCAACCAGCATATATTTATGATGGTTGCAGTGTCCCAGGGTCACATGATTCCCATTTGCAACCTTCCCAGCCAGCTTCCGACGTGCAAAATCAATAGGTAATTGTGCAATTCACTTAGTGACCTTTGTGATTCATTTAACGGCCACCACAAACATGTCATAAAATCAGGTACAGTCATGTGATGCCTCGCTTAACAACCGCACTGCTTCATGACAAATTTTCTGGTCCCTCTTGTGGTCTTAAATCAAGGACTACCTGTATTGGTGAAAGACACTTCCCCCGACAGAGTTCTTGTGCCATTTCTTCAGCCTGGACATCCACCGAATGTTTAAACATCAACTCCTTTAATCCCCTAACTAGCAAGTTCATTGCTGGGAATTCTGGGAATTAAAATCCACATATGTGGAAGGTGCCTCAGTTGGGGAAAGCTGGGCTGAAATATTTATCAGGGGGAAGAAGGCAAAAGAATCCCAAAAACTAGGCCTCCAAATGTTGTACAATACCAGTTACTGCGTTCTTCCCAGGATATCACAGAAGCCCCTATGAATGAGCTAGGTACCTTTGTGGTGCATGAATTATTGCAGTGGCTAATACAACTGAAAAACTGAGCTGAATAGCTGGAAAGGGGGATAAAAATGCTGCATTTCTTACCCTTGTGCTGTATACTTTTTTAAAACAGTATTTTTAAAGCAAATTATCTCATGCAGTAAACATGTTCTTATGCCACTTAGAATGGAAAAGTTAAAGGATTCAGGCTGCGAAGACAAGGCAGATAGAAACTCTTTTACTGCTCAGTCTCAGCTTTTAATAACTTGGTCATTTTTTAAAAAAAAAAAATTCTGTCATGGACTTCCATAAAGCTTGTTCCAAAAGAGATGGCAGGAATCCGTAATAAACCAAAGAGTAATTCAAGGCTTGACAGCTTTGATTTCTTAAACTGCATTAAGGAACTATTTGGAAGCTTGCCAGTTAGGCTTCTTCCCACATAGTTATGTTTTCACTGGCTAGTGAGCCAGAATAAAGATAAAGGCGTCCTTGTGACAGTTGGGCGAACTGAAGGGTTTCTTTTTAATGGTGCTAGGGACAGACACAGAGCAGGTTCTGCACCCAATTTCATCAGGATGCCTGGGAGCCAGCCAAGATGGGGAAAGAAGATACTGTAATTTGCAAACAACTTTGCAGCAGTCAGGGGTGTCTAACAAACTTGAGCCATTTCAGCATTTGATAGGCAGAAAGAAGGAAATGGATGGAGGGTTCCTTGATAAGAGAAATGTCCTGCATTAATTATTGGTATTGCTGGAGTTTTTCCATATTGCTCAGAATATTGAAGAACTTGGCTTTTAGCCACACATCTCTTTTCATCAGCTTTACCCAAATGGCTCTAAGCTACAATCTAACTTGCTAGATCTTGTTTTTCTTCTCCCCCAGAGATAACGAGCAAAGTGGTTCAATCTGTATTTGCCCCTGCTGATCCAGTGGGGCTATGACTGAAGTACAGCCACACTTGCCCAAGCTATGGCATTTACTGGACTGGCATCCTATTTCAAACCCAGAGGTATCTCTCTGGGCAGAGGGTCCCTATCTTTTGCATGGACTTTTCCTTGTTATCAACTAAAAATCTGCATTGCTGCATTCTGATAGCCCCTAAAGATACCTTTGTATAGCAATTATAACACCTGGGCCATCCTCCAATGCTGACCCAGTGAACTGGAAGTGATTCATAGAGGCTCAGCTGATTGGTGTTCTGAACTGAATGGTACATCACTCGTTCAGAAGCATCTTTAGGAACAACTGGGGTTTAATATTTGGGTGAAAGATTTAGTTTACAAATATATGTATATATTTGAAATGAATGCCTGGTTGGTGCCTGACTATTGCCTGTGAATTCTCTTTCAGGTTGTCTTTTTTCCTAGGCATGGGCTCGCAGCTCCATTTTGGACTTCCCTTTCTTTAATTTATTGAGGTCTTTTTTAAAATTGTCCTACTTTATATCACATGTCAAAACAGCATATCTAGCTGAGAACAAATCAACTGTGTTTTTGCCTGAAACTGAACTTCAAAATGTTAGATGTAACTCAGACAAGAACAGTTCCCTTTCTAAATTCAGAAGTAAAATTGGGTCAGGGGAAGCATGTGGCGAATCAGCCCAGGCTTATGCCCTGTTTGGTATCATATAATTTTTAAAAAAATGTTTATCCCACCTTTATTATTTTTTATTTAACTCAAGGTGGTAAACATACCTGTATTTTCCCCACAACAACAACCCTGTAAGGTGAGTTGGGCTGACTGGCCCAAAGTCAGCCAGCTGACTTTCATGACTAAGGCAAAACTAGAACTCACAGTCTTCTGCTTTCTAGTCTGGTGCCTTAACCACTAGACTAAACTGTTTTAGTTTTAAATTGTTTTACATTGTTTTGAGATGTTTTAGTTTTAAATTGTTTTAAATTGTTTTGAGAGGAATCTTATAAGAAAGGGTACATTTTACTGTCTCCTATACTTTTCTTTAATAGCATTTGATGATGAATTAGTTTCCATGGCAGATGTTTCCCGCTACGTTGAAGACCCTGGATTTGGTTACAAAGATTTTGCAAGACGGGGGGAAGAACATCTTCCAACATTTCGAGCCCAGGTGAATTACATGAGTAACTTAGTGATGGAGAACCAAATTAAGAAGTATATATGGTAACCCCTGTCAGTCGTAAGTCTTTTGGAGTTAGCATCCTAGCTTTTGTTCAAAGTAACTTTTTTTCTGTTACTTCTCTGAATTGAGGAATACTGTTCTATCCAGTCCAGAACTGAAAGCATGGTCTGGTTGCTGCTTTCTGAGACTTACACCAGAAAACTTCCCAGCCTTACCTAGAAATGCCTGGGATTGTCCTTGTGACCTTTTGGCATGCAAACCACATCTTCTGCCATTGAGCTGCAATCTTTGACCATGATTAATACAGAGTCAGAGTATACGTTCTTAAAGAAGCATTATCGTTGGAGAAAAAAGTCTCAAAAGATCCTAAAATATGTTAATGTAGGGAAATGTGTTCAAGAAAAGTTCCCTTTTCTTCCCAACAAGAAGAATTCATTTATTGATTGCACTTATGCTCTTTCTCCAAATAAATTAGAACAACATTTGTGGAATTCATTTCTTTTATAGGACTACACCTGGGAAAATCATGGATTCTCCCTTGTGAACAGACTGTATTCTGATATTGGGCATCTCCTGGATGAGAAATTCCGGATGGTCTACAACCTCACCTACAATACCATGGCCAGCCGTGAAGATGTTGACACCACAATGTTAAGAAGAGCTTTATTTAATTATGTTCACTGTATGTTTGGCATCAGGTATGTTTATACACTGGCCGGGATAATGGATATATTCCGTAGTCTCCTGACTTGTAATAGTCACACTCTGTAATCAGTGGATGTTGTGTATTGTAGTTAAATAGTACTTTATGTTTGAAAAATTAAATATGATGCAATAGAGGTGAGATAAATATTAGCCTCTGAGTGAGAGAAACACAGTATTTGTTGTATTCCCCTTTTTATAGATGAGTATGCATTTATAATTAAAGAATAGACGTAAACAGAGTCAAAAGTAATATGATGGCATTCTCTCTGGGTTAATATCCAGCCACTGTTTGTTTGTTTGTTTCCCAAGAACTGAAGACATGCTGTAGGATCAGCAGGTTTTGTTTTTACATTTAGGGGCAGAGTAAATATGATGTTAACTATCCCTTGATATTTAATATGCATTTAATATTTAACCCTATTTTTTCTTTCCCTGCTGTAGTCCTGATGAAAACAGTTCTACAAATGCTGCTATTTGGGGAGAAAATAATTGGAAGAAATCTCACTTTATTATTTCTATTAGCTAACCAGACTAATGCAGCTTCAGAGGAAAGTGCTTTTCATCCAGACCTTAGTAGGGAAGAGCAGAGTTAAATTTTCACACCCTGATAAATACCAGATTCCAACACACACACACACCTCAAAGCCCTCCTTTGGGCATGTTGGAGAAATACCCTGAAAACCCCCGTGTCCTTCTCCCTTCTCTGCCAACTGGGTGGCAAGGTCCAGGTCCATTCTTATACTCATTCAGAACATAGATTAAAAATCTTCAAAACTTTATTAAGAGTCTGCAGCCTCTTCGTCAGACCCACAAGGACATCCAACTTACATGCAAGTAACGTTCCCAGGCAAAAGACCCCAAATACACATACAAGCAATGTAGTCAGTGTCACACAAGGCATTTCAAATGGTGCAATTGCATTGGCTAATCCCCATTTGGTCACTTACACATCTCTAGGCAAGTGGAAAATCCCCCACAAGTTTACCTTTGCACACACATAACAGTGGCATTTCCATAGCAACCTACAACAGGGTTTGTCCCATTATCTGTAGCAGCTGTTTCGTGGTGCAGTGAGCAGTTCCACTGCACCCTTGCACCTGCGTAAGCATAGTGACCGTTTGCTTACCTATCCCGTGCTGTTCCAGTTAACTTTGCGTTCTAATAATGAAGTCGGTTTGACTAGGGCTAAACCTCATTAGGACTAAATTCCTCGTGAATCCCCCAAATTCCTCTGGATCCATCCATCTCTTACAGCTGTTACTTGCATAACTTAAGATACACCAACAAGACTGCTATCTGGTGTATATTTTAGAACGCATTACAGGTAGTCCTCAAGTTACAATCATTTGTTCAGCGACCATTTGAAGTTGACAGTGCTGAAAAAAATGGACTTATGACTGGTCCCCAAAGTTACAGCCATTGCAGTGCCCCTGCACTCATGTGATCGTGATCTGGGCACTTGGCAACCCGACTGCACTTATAACTGGTTGCCAAGCACCCCACAATCACATGATTGCCATTTGCAACCGTCTCTGCCGGCTTCCCAGAAGCAAAGTCAATGGGGAAGCTGGCAGGGGAAGTTGCAAGTTGCTTGGATAAATCTCCCCCACCCACCCTGGCCTTTCTTCACTCATTTGCACACACCGTGCCCTCCTTTCCTCCTTTGCTGGCTCACATGCACCAGCACCCTCCTTCCCTCTTCACTCACTTGCACACACGCACTGCACCCTCCTTCCTCCTTTGCTCGCTTGCATGCACCATCTCCCCTTTGCGTTCATACAGTGCCAGAAGTGCCCCAGGAAAGTCCTTGAGCCAGCAAAGGAGGAAAAGAGGGCACAGTGCATGCAAGTGAATGAAGGGGGAAGGAGGGCCAAGAAGCCCCTGAGCTCCAGCATGGCAAGCAGCCCCAGAGCTGTATGATTCTGGGGCTGCTTGCTGCCCTGCAGGCAGGGTGCAGGGCAGCCAAAAGGACAGAGTTGGGGGGGGGAAGATAGGCAGGTGGGGGCAGTTGAAGGCAGTCCCTTACCTTACTAAGGCTCAGGGCTGAAAGGGTCCAAGCCTGGAATGGCTTGGATTGGGGTAGGTCCTCTGCTAATGACTGGTGGAATTCACTTAATGACAGCAGTGGGGAGTGCCAAGTTTGCTGTCACTAAGCCATGCAGTCATGTGACATCTCGCTTTACAACTGCATCACTTCGCCATGGAAAGTCTGGTCCCAATTATGGTCATAAGTTGAGGGGTACCTGTACAACAGTGTTTCTCAAACTTGGCAACTTTGTGTAGACTTCAACTCCCAGAATTCCCCAGCCAGCTTGTAAACCAACTTTACGTTAACTGTGCTGATTTATATTTGCTTCCAGGACCAAAGTAACAGTGGTGTCAGAGGACTAATCCCTCATTTGCCATTAGTTCAGAACATGTCTCCTCTGCCTACTCAGTTCTCTTGGTAGAACTCTGGATCTTGTTCAGAGGTTTCCCCTTCTTTGTCCTCATAGGATTGACAAAATGCTTTTGAGTGGCTGAACTACACTGAATCTTAACCTCTGACTGAACTGAAAACTGTAAAAATCTAGTAGCTTTACTGAAAAATTAATCCTTTCTAATATGCAATTAACCCTTTCTAATATGCAAGCAAAAGCAAGAATACTCCTGAACAGATGATTGGGACAGCAGTTTAAAAAATGTAATCATGATCAGTCTGGTTAAAATTACAGCCTGCAATATTGTGGGCACCCAGTTTAAGTTCTTAGCTTTCTGCCTTTGACCCTCTGAGCCAGATTCCACCCTCTGCCTCTAAAGTCACAGCGCTGAACCTTTTCTTGCTTTAAATTTATTTATAGCCTTGTAGTTACTCAGTGGGATGTCCATTTTTGTCAGGACATTTCAGTAACTTGACCAAATGCAAAATAGCGAGAGGTGTTTTCAAAAGGCAAAACATAAAAAAAAAAAAGGTTAATAATCTTAAAACCAGTCCATACCAGCTTAAAGAAAGACATTCAGTAAAACCCATATTGCTCTTGTAAAACCTCCTTTTTATGTTTTCTAGTGAAAAGGCTAAGTTAAAGCATGTTTAAGCTATTGAACCAGAGAAGGCTTACCCACAATCCCCTGAACAGCTTAGGCTGAGGACATATGAAGGACATAGATCCCGCTTCCTGAAAGGCATTCATCTGAAATGCTGGCTGGGGAATTCTGGGACTTGAAGTCCACACATCTTACACCTGCCGAGGTTGAGAAACACTGGTTTAATGGAATGCGAGATAGGTGAGGTTAGGCCTTTCCCTCATAATACTTAGGCAGGTGAGAAAATCCTGCTTAGCTGTGCAATGCTTTTAAATATAGGGTTGAAGGTTTGAACTATTTTTTTGTGTGTGTATTTTTGGTTTCATTGATGTAATTTTTAAAAGATGCCTTTTAGCTTTCTTTTGTTTTCTAATTGTTTTGGCAGCGCTCGCAGGGGTGGGGGAAAAAAATTAAAATATATTGCTAAATAATCAAGATCTAAAAAAGTGCATATTGAACATCAAGACTCATGGGATGGGTCAACTAGTTTGGCCCTTCTTTCACACTCGCATTGCCAAATGCAAAAGGCTATAGCAAGAAGCAGGGCTAAGTAAGAAATATCTTTAGCGCCACTTCAGAACAATTTCCCATGATGAGTGAAACTCTCCTTGCCTCTTCAGGATTGTTCAGCAACTTGCATTCCTGGGCCAGGCATCGTTCAACATCCATCCTGACTTTTTAAAAGCCGTTTGCTTCAGTCCTCCTTCACATGAGAGAAGTCATATGCAGGCCTGGCCCTGGGAATAAAACTACAGACACTAAACTTAGATCTGTGCTTGTTCATTGCACAGTGAGGGGAGCTCCAAAAAGTCATGTTAAAAAGTGGCAAGGCTTTAGGTGGTGGCCATCTTGACTTTTTTGATACCTCTGCAGACTCCCTTGATTGTGGCTAAGCGCTCATAATGTGCATTTTGGATGGAAGGGGAGAGAAGGGCAGCCATTTTTCTCTTGTTGCCTAGTAAATTTTTGTGACTCTGATCTGCATGAATTCTGGAGCATAGTTTGTTAGGGGACCCCCCCCCCACATACACACACAAAAAACTTCAAAATGATTTCCAAGAAGCAAACTCTTCTAAGGAGTTTCAATCACAAGAATTGCTCCTAGTGATGTTCTCTCAACCCTAGCAAATAGGCTGGATGAATTTGGTCCTAAGATTGTTAATGAGAATTAGCTCTTTTCAGGTAAGTGTCAGGTTAATGTTTGACAAAGCTAATTGAACTAGATCATATTGGAACTGTACGAATCACAATCCAGGATTTAGGCAGATTTTATTTTGACACACAATTGTAAGTGATTTTTCAGCCAAAAAAAGAAGAATTGCTTTTTTAAAATATCACATGTGCTCAGAAAAGAGAGATTCAGACCAGCTTAATCTTGCTTAGATACGATGACTATGATTACGGCGAAGTTAATCAGTTACTTGAACGGAACCTGAAGATTTACATTAAGACAGTGACCTGCTACCCAGAGAGAACTACCAAGCGCATGTACGACAGCTACTGGCGCCAGTTCAAGCACTCAGAAAAGGTGAGTCCCTCAGTGCCAAACGCATTAGCACACATTCTTTTTGTACATAACCCAGAGAAATGGCATTTCTGCAGAAGCAAATTGTCATATCCATACACTAAACACACCCTTCCCTTGCATTAATATTCTCCTCAACCACCAAGAGTGAAACTTTGGGATGGCCACACCTTTCTATTCCAAAACCTGTGGGTGGAACAGTCTATCTTTTAAAAAAAGGGGATTGGAGGGAAATTCTGTTTTAAGGCAGGTGACAAAGATTCTGTAACATCTGATCTTGGTAATAACTCTCTGACAGTTTCTTCTCACATGCAACATTCCAGTTGATGCTGCAAGTGGTGAGTGGTGAACTGGCATCCATGAACTAGTCCATTTATTTTATTTGTAAATTTTATCTAGGTGTCTGAAACCACCTGGATTCTAGGCAGCTTACAGAAATTAAATGTTAAAAAGAAGAGATCAATAAAAATTAATTGTGGCTAAAATACAAAATGAAAAATTATAAAATTAAGAAGTGTATCATGATCATTCCCCAAAAGCCTTCTGGAAAATCCATGTTTTCACCAGCTTCTGGAAGACCATGAGGGTGGGGGCCACATGCACTTCAGGTTACAGAGCAGGGGGGCTGCTGCAGACAATGATTGAAGACAGTCAGATCTTCTCATATTGTACCTCCTGATAGATGGGGACACTCAGTAGGTGCTCCCTCATTTTCTGGGGAAGATGGGTAGAAACTGTTGGGGAAAGGTGATCTCTAAGACACCCAGGCTCTGAGCCATGTAGGCCTTTCTAAGTCACAACCAGCACCTTATTATAGGTCACAACCAGCACCGTGAATTGCACAAGGAAACCTACTGGTAGCCAATGCAGGTTGCACAGCAAAGGTGTTAAGCAGCATTATTTAGACCAATCGCTAAAGGTGTAACATAGCTGTACTGAGACCAAGCACCAAGCCCAGGGGCTGCTGCATTCTGGACCACCTGAAGTTTCCAGGTGGTCTTCAAGGGCAGCCCCGTGTAGAGTGAGTTACAGTAATCTCATCCCTTTAAGCCTCACCATCCCACTTCATGAAAGATCAAGGCACCTCTTTGAGAAAGGGCCTTAACACCATGCATGCCTCTCTATATCCATGTATCACCAACTGGTTTAAATGTTTCCTTAGGTCCACGTGAATCTTCTTCTGATGGAGGCTCGCATGCAGGCTGAACTGCTCTACGCCCTTCGTGCCATCACCCGTCACTTGACCTGACGGGCCGACACAGTTGTATGTGCAAAGCTTCCAAATAAGACGAGCAGTAAAATGCTGCCTGTGGGGTAGCATCCGGCTACTGGATTCCGTAGTGTTGAAAGCTGAAGCTGTGTGTCTGGCAGCTGTTACCGTGCAATGATCTCTCGCTCTTTCCTCTGTCTGTCTATATATTTCTCGATGCTTAACTTTACTAGCGATAGCAAACATAACACTGTGGAACACTGCTTCTGAAGTGGTTTCCCATCGAAGTATTGCTCGCAAACCCTACGCTGGTTTGCTATCACTGATTCTTTGCTGTTTTTTCTTGCGCTCGGAATTAAAACTTTTAAAATGTGTCTTTTGAGGTTCCAGCTATCCCACCCAGTCTCTCCTGTAGACAGTATCCTGCACGGGATTGTCTTTCTCTTCTCCCTCTCTTCCTTTTAGCTCTTTCCTAAATACAGTATATGCTATGTTTTAAGCTGAATTGCTCAGCTAGCTTATTCTTACATAATTCCTAGAAATGTAATTCTTCAGCAGTAATTTGGAGGTCACGTGAAATGAATGCAACTGTTATGCCTGCGTTTTTGAAGAAAAATGTGAAAGCAACTGCTGCAAATCCTGCGGCATGCTACTGAGACACAGCATTGGAATACTTTTTTCTGAATGCAGTGGTTCTTCCCATATCCATTTCAACTGTACAGGTTCAGGGATTGCCTTATCCTCTTTGGCCTACGATTGTTTGCTTTTTGCCCCTCCAAGTGCACGGAGGTTCTTTGCAACCCAAGTCAGCAACTCGGTTTAACTTGGCATATGGGAATTTTTTACCAAGTCACTTTATAACATTTTAAAACTTTAACTGGTTCATAGATCAGGCAGCACTGCAGGGTGTGGAAGTTCAACACATGCTGCCTGATCAAAAGGAAAAAAAAATCTGCACAAGTTCCCCCCCCCCAATGGGAAAGTTTGGTCTTGTGCTAAGTCAGACCACTGGAGAGTTGAGACCAGTCCTGTTCTACTCTTCAGCTTCTCCAAACCTTGTGCATTTGAAGCATGGATTCTCTTGCTGATCTGTAGCTGCTTCCCTGAAAGTTTTATGTGGTGCTGCCTTCTGTTGGGTCAGATCTTTGATCCATCTTGCCCAGTATCACTAGTTCTGGTTGGCAGTCGTTCCATTAGAATCTCAGGTAAGCATCTTTAATTCCCTTATAACTTGAGATCGTTTCACTAGAGATGCCAAGACCCCTTTTACAAGCAAAGAAAGTGCTTTCCCATGAAGTTACAGCTTCTTCCACTGCTGTTTCTTTTTTTAAAAAATGATTATATAAGAGTAATTAGAGTGGTGTTCAATTCAAGCTTTAGAAATTTGATTCCGGTTGTATTTCCCTGAGTGGTAGTGTCAGAGCAGGGTTTTTTATATATATATTTTAAAGCTATGAATCATGTTTCTGTGTGTTGTCATGAGTGAACAAAGGAAGTGCAATATTTGAGCAGAAAGGCAAGTTTTTCCCTAACAAACTTCCTGCTGAAAAGTCCCGTTCAAAATGGCTGGAGAACAGCTGTTTGTTCCTTCCCAAACATTGCTACTACCCTTGGCTTGCTTGCCTTGAACAATCAGCTACTCTTACATTGCCAAAGCATCTATTAAATAAAACTGGGGTGGAGCACACATCCCCATACACTTCTGTGGAACCTTGGTTCCTTCCAGTGGAGACCCCAGTGTGAGTTTCAGAGAAGTGAATGGCAAATGTGCCACAGTCACTTTGATTAGGTGGTTCCCATTGGCAGGTGGCCTTTTTGAGGAAAAGATGTGAATTGCCAAAAAAGATCCCGTCTCTGTGGTGCCTGAGCACACTGTTACAGTTTTAGAGCACAAGATATCAGTGTTTTTATAGCTTTAAGTGTGTTATGTTGAATTTCAGCGAAGTGCCTGAATACTGACCCACTGAGACAGTGACTTTTCAGTTATGGGCCCATTCCAGGGAACGTTAGTCATAGCTGAGTCCCACTGAAATCTAAGCTGCTTTGGCCCAACTGTGACTGTCTTGTCAAAGTCGACAACTTGCCCACTGCCTTTGAGTGGACGTACTCTACCAATATTATCTAATCACTGACCAACATTTTGGCAACAAGATTCAGTTGTGACTAACATCTGCTGGACTTGTTTTGAAGTAGACTTCTCCCTCACCCACCCACCCCTTAAGACTGACTTCAGTTTGTTTTTCTATGCTTTGGAAATGAACGAAATGGGTTTTCTTTTATTCTAAATGAGCTGTAGAAAGCAATATAGAATCATTTTGAAAAAACTGAAAGATTTTCATAATGGTTTGTTTTATAAGAGTGATTTTGAAAGTCTTTCCATGTAAAAACAAAACAAAACAAAATACAAAAATGACCAGACCAGGGTTATTTTGTTGAAATTTTTAAAACTTAATTCTTTCCTCTTCTATTACTGTTGTGATAGGATGTTGTTCTCCTACCCCTCTTCCCCCTTTCAGATGTTGAAATGATTGTTCACTTTCCTGTACAGAGTTTTCTGTATGTCAAACTATAAGCTATTTTTGATATCAACATTCTCTGGGGATACATTTACACTACAGATTTCTGTCAGCTGCATCAATTGCACTGTTGTGGCTTCTCTTAAAGAAATCTAGAAATCCTAATTTGAGGAGAGCATTTAGAGTTCTCTGTAAAACTAATTTTTTAAAAAAATCTTGTGCTCCCCATCCACCCTAAGCATTATCTCCCTCTTGGTGTTATCCTTTTTGCAGTTCTGCCCTTGGGAAGAAATTCAGTTGAATGGAGTCAGCTGTTAAATTAGAGCTGCCCTGTGGCAAGAACGGGGCCATTCTGTGTGGGAGGCACCAACCACACACCAACCTAAGCTGAGTTGGCTGCCACTTGACAAACTTTTCCAGTCCTCCCTCCTTTGCAGGTACAGATGGCACAGGAATTTCATATGCAAAGAGAAAAGTCTCTCGGTTGTTTTGCTATGGTAAAAGTCGGGCACGTGTTCTTCTCTCGGCATAGGTTTGCTGTGTCCAGAATCTCACTGAACCAGCGGAAGAGTTGAGCACACTTACAGGGATCAGTGCCATTTTTAGCTTTGAGTGAACTCTGGCTTTGAACTAGAGCCATTATGGAGGCGGAGAAAAAGCTAGTGAGAACTAGTCTCCCAGCCCTAAAGCAGCAGAGTAACTGCTGGAGAGAAAAGGGAGGTAGAAGAGGGGACTGATGTCTTTCCCTGCATCTCTCTCCTCTTTGCTTTGTATTCTCAATCAGGTTCTCTCCTGTTTGTCACTAGACGAGAAGGGACACTGGGAGGAATAGCAATCTCTGGGGGAGGTGGGCAGCATATAAATTTAATAATAAATAAAGTGATGGAAGGTTAAAGCATCCTTTGTCCTACTGCTCTACAGATGATTTGGTTTGTCTTAACAGGAATGGTTACATAGGTGATCTGGTCCGTGTTTTGATTATAAGAGATTTAATTTTCCTTTCAGAGGGAGGTGGAATTGTTTTCTTTTTAATAGAAACCGGTGTTCTAAATGCAGAAGCAGCAATGTCTTTTCTTGTAAAAGTTTCCTTTTATTATAACGGAAGAGTCATCTTGCCAAGAGGCAAATAGGCTTTACATTTCTAAGACTTTGTTTACTTTTTCTTTCCTTGGTGAAATATCTAACTTCTAAATTCATTAATGGAAGCAAATGTTTGATTTCACTGGGTGCCAGATCTGCATTTGGCACTCAAGGTTGAAGCCTGCTCTTTGAAAATTAGGGTTTTTCCTTAGAAATAGAATGGCAAGTCTGAACGTTATAAAAATGTTTCCAAGGTAGTAAGTTCAGACTAGTATGATTTGGTGTGGTCAAGTAGAGTGGTTAGATTTATATACTTAAATAAGTTGGAGTTACGTCTCTGTTTTTACATGCTGAACATTCAGAATAGACATCCATTTTTACTTTGTTTTTTATCTGATTTATTGCTTAAGCTCACACGTGTGCCAAACTATAAATGTGCAAAAAAAAGAGGGGGAGGGAAGCACATGTGAAAGAATCAACATTTATGTATTAAAATCTAACACAATTGTTTGTTGCATAGGCATAGTTTTCTGTTTTGCTTCTGTTACTGTGGCTTTAGTTGTCAGTAGCTGGTGGCCCATGGACCAAAATCTGTCCCACTATCAGCCAAGGGGCAAACAAGAGCTGCAAGTCGGACTGTCAACAGTAATATCACTCTGGAGAGGAGGGTTGAGGAACCTGTGGCCTTCCAGAAGTTGCTGGACTACAGTCCCCAGCATTGTGCACATGTAGGTGGAGTTAGAAGTAGCATCTGAACAACTTCTGGAGATTCATGTTTTCTTCCCTTGTTGAAGAGCTAGGCAGTACAGCAAACTTCCCCAAGTGTAGGGAGGGCAGAAGTTGAGGTTTTGGCTCTAGATAGGACATAATAAGGCCCTCAAGCATTTGTTCATTTGTTCTGCTGTATTGTTTGGGCAAAACCTAAATTGGGTGATTTCATAATTTCTCCCCCCACCTCAGTTTTTATCAGCTGTATTGAGTTCATACAGAGAGATGGGTCAACAATTGCAGTTGGCCAAGAGATAGTATCTGAGTAAGGGGAAAGAATTATAACTTGAATTTCTAACTCCCAGGCATAGGAAATGCTTATATGTGGCAAACCCCAGGTACTAATCCCAGACAAGAGTTGGGACAAAACGGAGTGCAAAATCTACTGTGCAAAAATCCTCTGCATACTTACTTTGAAGTAACTTCCCCTGCCTAAGTAGGCACAGGACTGCAGCCCAGATCCAGTTGTGATTTTGGGGAGGGGGGGAGGGTGCTTGGTTTTTTCCCAGCATGTTTTATTTTTGTTCTTTTGTGAGATTAGTATCTGGGGAGTTGTGATGAAAAGTATCTGCACAGGAAATAGGATATATTCATAGGCTAAATGGAAGCAGCTAATCTCTGCATGATGAGAACCCAGATTCTGCAACTGGAATTTGTTGTTGTTGTTGTTT